CATGAACTACAAAACTAACATATAGTCTATTATAGGTATGCGCAAGTGACATTCCGGATTTAGGTGATAATGACAATCCAGGTATGTGTTCACTAACAAATGTGTGTAAAATTCGATAATTGACCAAATGAAACAGGATTCACTCATACACTTCGAGTTATATCGCATTTCGGAGAGTGCAATTGGAGTTTGAAAAGTCTGAAGTACAAGTGTTTAGTTGATGGAACAGAAACTTGAAAAAGCGGAGTCGACCTGGAAAATGCTTGATCGCATGCAAATTACCGTGATTAAAGAAAGCTAAATACATGATTCTAGGAAACTCGGTCTTTCGCATGTCTACTAAAGCAAATCTGATGAATTTCGTGTATTCCATCTTTTACGTGTTCTAAAACTCTTAGAAATTACCAGAAGTTTTTCGTCATTGTTTGTTTCTTCTGACAAAATCAAGTGGAATTTCACTAGTCGTTCTAAACGATATGCGATTCAAAAAAAATCATGCATTTATTCATACATCGCGTGTAGGCAGTGTGTACCATTCGTATGCAGTAAAAGTAACGCGAACACAGAGAAATGCATCAATAAATAAGTTTTCTGGAATAAAACAACAAAGTACTTGTCGTACTTAAGATCTGAAGTATTTCGTTCGATTCGATTGTATCCAGTCAATGACTTACTTTCACTCATCCTCAGTGTTTGAGACCTATCATAGGTGTTTGTTTTGGAAATTTTTCTAAAATAATAGTACATGTGTTGGTGAAGAGGCAAAAAACACTTGTTTATACAATCAGTTGGTTCGACAATATGTTTCCGACTATCATCTTCAAAAGTGTTCCTTTTTTTAAATGAATATGTCAGGACAGACAAGAGACTGTAAAAAATGCCAGGAAATAGTTTTGATTTGATAGAATAGAAACACAGCCACGTTTTTGGAAATATCGGTCAAAAAGGTACTGACAATGATTAAAATATACTTTACGTGCTAGTTCCGTATCGTGTTCAACAAAACAGAGCAGTAATTGCCACATTAGTGCCTCATTTTAATGTGCTTATTAGAAAAGGTGACAACATTTCTAACAAATTACCGTACAACAAGTCAGTACACTCGTTTCTCGTTTCTTTTCTGATCCTAAAGATTCTTTCAGTCAAAAAGTTCCGTTCGTTCATAAGGGCTTTTGTGTTCTCATAACCAATCATCTAGAGTTCTCGTTAATAATCCGCGTTTTCCTGGCCCCTACGGAGTCTATGGGCTTTTTTATTTCAAACTGAATTCTAAAATCAAAAAAACCGCACCAATTTCTTCCGAATCAAACTTTTCTCGTTTGATACTACGTAGTCTCACTAAAAACCCTTAGTCCCCCCTAGTCCTGCAAAGTCCTCCTTAGTCCCCCCCACAAAAAGCTTAGTCCCTTGTGCAGGGGACTAAAGCCTATAGTACACAAAGCCACAAGTACACCCTCACCCTCACTCGCGCGCCAACACCCGCACCATGGGTGTGGGTGTGTGTGTGGGTCCCAGACCAACACCCACACCCTCAGTCACTCCCCCCCCTCACTCCTAGACTCACGTTTCAGTTTGAAATCAAGTATTATTTTTATTTGATGAATTCAGACTGAAATTAAATAGCCCATAGTATGCCCCTACGCTAGTTAAATGTTCTGATCGCATAGAATATCTAAATGACGTTTGAATTCCATAAGGAAATCCATGATATCTAAGTACTAAAAAAGACAATCATATGTCACATGGAGTCCATGTTCATAAAAGCATTGGAACCGGATATATTCAACCGAAGGTGACTAATTTATGCCTCAGTGATGGAGAGATCGACCAGAGCGCTGCACGGGTTCAACTTTTTAAACCCGAGCCAGGCATGACGTTTTATTTAGAACCCGAATTCTATCCAATATCGACTCGACCATATCTGACCTGAGAAATAAAATTCACTAGTTTTCATCAGCTGGATCACTCTATTCAATCTCAAGCATATTAAAGAATACAAAGTTCATGAAAATAATAAAAACACAAGAAAATCTATAATTATAAGAAAAATAAGGGTGCAGTTTTGTGGACTGCATGGAGCCGGTTTCGGAGTAGTAGTCGGAGTCAACTAAATTTTTTGCCCAAAATCTATCTTTAGCATAGAAACTTTGTTGCATTGTGAATTTTGTTCTCCGATATTTAATGCATAAACTGATGAGTATTGTAGACTCCGACATCTTATCAAATGCTATGGACATGAAAGGAAGTCGCAGTCACATACAAGTCCAAAGTTTTCGGGCTTCAACTTTCTTTCATTTCCATAGAACTTGATAAGATGTTGTTGGAATCTACAAAATGCATCAATTTATGCAGCAAATATCAGAGAATAATACCACAGTACGAAAAAAGTTCCTATGCTAAAGCTTAGTTTCCGGCAAAAAACTTAGTTGTCTCAGACGACGACTTCGAGGTCGTCTCCGTGAAGTTCACTAGTACAGTTGTGAGATGTGAGGGTGTGAGCATGGATGAATTAAAGACTCACACCTTTACTCACCAGTATTCTCTACTTTGAATGATTTTTTGAATATTTGCTTTAGAACTCATTTCTGAATAACGAAAAAAAGTGAAAAAATATGGAAAACAGAAGCTTAAGTTTTTATGGAAAAACAGAATTCATATCTACCCTTTTATTATATTGAACGTAGCCTAAAACATTTCTGCTCTAGTCTTTTTCGTACATAATATCAAAAAAAGATAGAAAGAGTGAAATTCTCGAAAATTTTTTATTAAAGTAAACCCTAAATCGATCCTGCGCGAAAAAGTTGAACCCGAGTCCGCCCTCGAGTCGGGTCGGGTTGCTACACTCTAGCATAAACATTATATAATAAAACTATACACAACAGGTTATGAGAACAAAATGTTTGACAAAACAAAAGAGCATATTCACCGATGCTCAAATATTGTGCGAATGGATAAATGGAGAACTAGAATCAAGAAGCAGTTAAAAACCATGAAATGAAGTTACCACTAGACCAATGGCAGTTCTCATTCGGAGAACTGAACTGCTACCAATTGTTCAATTCTTTTGGAAGGAAATGGCCACTGGATCAGATTCGCAAAAAAAAAACTGGTCAAGGTAGCCACCTGTCAAAAAAGAACGGCCTCATAGAAGTGAGAGTTGTCACAGACCTAGTGATCGCCAAAGAGAAATTTCTGACTAAATCCATATGGTGCTTTTTTAAAGTTTCCTCGAAATTCGATCAAACACTATCGTGTTAGATACAGAAGTATAGGGGATGTAGGAGGCATGGAAAGCATAGAAGATAAATAGTGTGATGTATTAAGAAAGGTCTTTCCTCCAGGTTGCTGCCAGAAATTTCACGGATTCCGAACACACAGAATCATCGACCCCAGATGGAAAACAGGGATTTACATAATGCATCGTGATGATAGTTCATCATCGTATTTTACCAAAAATAATTCTGACGATTTACAAAAATAAAGAGGCGGCTTGCTAAGCATCCTACAAATCAGAACGTTTCGGTTAGAGTTCAGGATTTCTCTTGGCTAGAGTTATTTTTAGTTGGGTGTGGGTGTGGGAGTGGGTGTTAGTGTGGATGTTAGTGTGGGTGTGTAGTGTGAGGGTGTGGTTATGGTTGTAGATGTGAGGTATGGGTGTCGGCGTCGGTTCTGCTACGGTCATATCCACACCGACATCCACACCCCACATGCACACCCACACCCACTCACACCCACACCCCCACCCCCACCCACACGCACGCACATCCTCTCAACAGCTGATTTGGTTTTAAACGCAACAGTTTTTTCTTTCCCTGTTTGATAAGATTATGATATCTTCCCTTATCCATGTTTACCTCGTTTACATTTATTTCTACGTAAAATAAAGTTGTTTTTAAGGACTCTTGCGTAGTTATCAGTGGCCATCGACAGGTAGAAATAAAGCATTTTTTGGATTTGAAATAGTTTTTCTCAGTTTCAAAAATTTCCAGCCGATGCCGCCAAAGGGGGGCAATTTTTTCAAATGTCTCAGCCCCAGCCGCCGCCGAACGCAAAAAAATTCAGTTATCTGCAGCCGCCGCCGAAAGTGGCCGAGAGCTTTTATCGTCCTAGCCGCTGATGAAAAAAGTTTCGAATGTTTCAGCCGTCGCCGCCGCTGATCGGCCCATCAGCTTATATCTCTACATGCAAGGATATGCTTTTTAGAAATAAGTGGCCATTTGTCAAACAAATATATCGATATCTCGACTTGTATTAGTACAGAAAATAGTATTTATCTTCAAATACCAAGCATTAAAACATTTGACAACGATGACAAAGAATTATTTTCAAATTGGTTCAATTTGTTACATGGATATAATTCGGATCCAGATGGTAAACTTGACGATTCATTCAATACCATTGTCGACGAACCTTTAAGTCCATTGAAATTTGTTGAAATTGTTAACAAAAGACAATCTTTGACCCCATACATCGTTGATAGTCTGAAACGTTATCATGCTCTAACAGATATTCATGCAATATTTCCAAAATGTGTCGGATTGAAACATCAGTTCAATAACGGAGGCATATTTATGAATTTGATTGGCAAAATAACAACTCGGGCTTTGCTGACGATTGCCGTTGAAACAATGTCAAATGAAAGTCAACGCTTCTTGGGTAATTTCATTAAAAAGAATGATCTTCCTATACCATTATCCTATTACATCTGGGATCAACCGAACTCGATACCATTGTACAAAGTAAATTTCAATTGTCTGATTGAAACATTGTGCATAACAGACGATCGGCTATTCATTCAGTTCGGTAGCAAAAGTTGTGTGGGTTTGGGAAAAACAAGTTTACTCCCGTTCTTATTCAATAACAAACGAAAAGAATCTCTGTTCACTGACAGTCGCGATAGAAAATTTCGCTATTCATGCATCGACGTTTTGTTTGGTACAATATCACAGCAATCATATACGATAGTGGATCTACATGGAGCGATCGACGAGACAACAAATATGTCATTGGTCAAAGCCGTTCAGTTGTATGCATCGTTACAACTTGTTTATGTGACAGAAGCCGATTTGCCGAGTGCACGTAATAATGCTGGTGATTTCATTCATTCTGTTATGAATTATTCATTAGAAACAGCTGCTAAACCGACAATTGTTGTTATTTTTGATCGCAACTTCGACCGGGAAGATAAAACACAACAATTAATAAATCAATTCCAAAATTTTTATTCAGATAAAAAATGGCCGCACGTTTATTGGACAACCGTTCCATTGTTCAATGAAGCGAACAATTTGGACACATTTACAATGAGTTATCGTGCTGAACGTTTAAAGCCAACGTTTGCCAATATATTAAAAGAAGCTGAACCGTATATCAAACACCAGCCGCTGTTTCGTACATGTTTTGCTATCCAGTCGACATATTTAACAAACCGATTTGATGGAACGCGGTCGATAACCAGATGTAATGTCCAATTTGATGTAGAAAGTAACCTCAAACAACTATTTGATAAATTAACGGATAAGACGGAAAATCTAAAAATTGTCACACCAATTAGCTATTATCGATCTCAAATCGATATAATTCGAAAACAGTTGTCGCTTGAAACAGCAGATGCAAACCTGTTGTCAAATACACTACTTTCAAAACTGAAACAACTTGAAATGGATAGGAAACAAGTGGTAGCTGTCAATGATTATACAAAATTTGTAATTGACTTATTGAACAATCGAACGTACACTGAGCTATTGATCACTGAGATTTATCTTGAAAAATGGCGATCATTGTACGTGCCGAGTTTGAAACAAGAAATAGATGCGATAAAACAAGAAGCATATGAACACGAACGAAAGTTGTCAAAAAGTGAAGAATTAATGGAAACACTGAAAAAACAAAATGCAAATCTTCAACAAATAGAATCTGAATTGAACGAACTACGTCAGCAAAGTAAACAGTTGAAACGAAAATTGTATGATATTGAGTTCCAGTTATCCAATGTTGATTTAACCGTCGGTCTGTTATGTGACGAATTATTTGCACTATATGATTTTTTATATGCCGAGCAACCTATGACACTCGACAAATACAAATGTGATTTTGATCGTCTGTCTCAAAATCTTTCACAGTTAGTTTACAAAGGTTTTGCTATACATATTTTAAGAAGTCGTCCGCTGTTCTGTGAAAGTCGCCTAGTGGAAATGTGTTTAAAGCGACTGAAGACAAACGGACAGTTGACCGTGCTAACTGTCATTGGTGAACAATCATCGGCGAAATCTTCTTTGCTTAATAGCACATTTGGGTGTAATTTTCGTGTCAGTGCTGGGCGTTGTACGATTGGAATGTATTTGGGTAAGTATCGGGTACACTAATAAAACTTTCTGGTTAATTTCTTGGTTTTGTCTGTTTTTATAGGTATTGCATATCACAAAAATTACACTATAGTCATTCTGGATTCGGAAGGTTTGTTATCATTAGAAGAATCCGGCTCAATCTTTGATAATCAAATGATAACAATGGCCGTTTTGATGTCACATTTGGTATTGATCAATCATAAAGGTGAACTTAGTTCTAGTTTAGAGGGTCTCATCGGAATGAGTCTGTATGCTAAATTACAAATACAGAGTTCACCGTTCAAACCGAAATTACTATTTGTTTTGCGTGATCAAATCGATCGTGAGCGGAAGGTCTTTTTTGATCAACTTAACAAATTCAAAGACAATTTGCAAGCATCATCAAGCTTTTTGAAAGTTAGTATTGATGATGAACTTGAAATAAAGCAAGAAAATATTGCTCTGTTGCCAAGTGCATTTAGCGAAGATATAAATCCTGATTTAAATATAACACAACGCTGGAGAAATCAGACGTTTCCTATCGAAATAACCAACCTTCGAGGAAGTATTTTTACTGGACTACAACAGCAGATCATCAGTCAGCAATATGGTTACAAAGGTTTTGATTATTTCTACAATAAATCCGCAAACAGCTGGAAATCGATTGATGACTTAGGGCAGGGTTTACTTGAGTGTAAAACCTTGTATGAATTAAGTATCACAAATGAACTGAAAGCTATTGCTAATAAGATAATAATCGAAAAATCACAGCTATTACAAAGTGATGGCACAAAATTACTCGATGATTTATTAGCAAAACAAAAACGTGCGTCACAACAAATTCTCAACAATAACCAGTTGAATGCGGATATCTATATGAAACAATTCATTGAGAATGGTATACAACAACTAAACAATATGGCAGGTGGTCTTATCAAGCAGGCACTAGATGAATACGAGCTGGAAACGCAACAAAAGTATTATGCAGAGATGAAAGGAAAAATACAGAAAAATATTGAGCCATCTATTAAATGTACGCAACAATTGTTGCAACAACGTTTTGAACAGGATGCATACATAGCAGCAAGAGAAAATGCCGTATGCCACGTGCAAAACCAATTGTTGAATAGTGCAAAAAAGTTTTTCGACGAAAAAACACAAGAAAATACAGATATTAATGAATTAAACGACGCACTGGACAAAAAACATAGTGAACTGGTCAAACAATTTCAAAACAGTTTAGAATCACTGAGAAAATCGCACGAGGATATCACACAAACAATATTAATGATATATAATAGTTTAGTACACTCGAGAACTGGTACAGCCGACAAGAATAATATTTATAATCGCTGTCCAATATATGATTTAAATAAATATCGGCACTTGTGCCACGAATTAGACGCTGTTTTTAAATGTATACAGTTGTATTTGTCACTACCTGTTCCAAAGAAAAAAACATGGTGGTCTTTCACCAGTAGCTCTGGAAACAGCGCAAATTCAGGTTCCTGGCAAAATCTGCAAAAACAAGTAGGTTGGTTTCTCGATCATCGTGATGAGGAAAGAAACAAGGAAATATTTTTTGGAATAGTCGAACGACTGATACCACAATTGAATCATAATGTCATCGGTATGCTTTCTACTGTCAAATTATCCTATTCCGATCCTCAAACAATTGCCGGACTGATTCAACATGTTAATAACTCAATGATGGGTCAAACATCGTGTATACAACAAAATTACAAATATCTAAATTTGGCACAAATAACAGCTGATCTTGTTCTAATTTCGTTAAGACTATTAATTAATGAAGCAATCAAAATTGCTGATAGAAAACATAAGGAACTGGAATTGGCACTTCTTGAGTTAGACACGTGGAAAAGTAATATCAAATGCCAATTCGTACTGATAAAAGATTCATTTGAACAAGGACAAAAGTTTCGAATAGATCTGGAAAAGCAAATTATCGATGAAACAATAAGAATATATAAAAGAATAGCCATTAATGAAATCAATTTGAAAATTACAGCCAATCCACAGATAGATCCGGACAAAATTGCTCGTAATGCCTATGATGAGAGCTTTGGCTCGATCCCGCCGAGTGGTGAAAGTATTCTGAAATATGTTCTCGATATCAATCGTTATTATTTAGAACTAGCACTTGATAAGGTTTCGGTAAGCAAAGAAAATATTGTTTCAACACAAATTCAACTACTTCAAAAAGTAATAAGTGATTGTGTAAACGCAGCTGTAAATACCGTCAAAGATCACGAATGTCGTAATGTACACACCGTTTACCGAAACATTGTAACTCAACTGTGTGCAACTGTGCCTGGATTTGAGCTTTCACCTATGATAGGAATATCGGCTGAAATAAAAAACCCTGCTCAGTTTAAACAAAGCTTTCAACAAATGATACAAAGCAAAGAACGTATGCAGAAAGAAATTACATTACGTGAAAGCGAATTCAATCACGAGGCAATAAAATCATGTCGCTCATTAATTACTCAACGTCTTGGCTGCCAGGCTTGTTGTCCTGGATGCGGTGCAAAATGTAGTAATACAGAATCAGGCCATCAACATCACAAAAGTTCATATCATATTGCAATGGCCTTCAAAGGATGGCGTTGGATGCATAATAATACACCAACTTTGGAATTATGCTATCAGGAATGGTTAACCGGTTCCCTTATAGTTGGCGGTGTAACATTCACACCGCGCAGAAAATATTATGTAGATCGAGTACCAGAATGGTTAAATGACATAGATGAAAAATCAAAAACAGCTGATTTGCGAAATGAAAATATTCCACCTATAGAACAACGACGTGCGTGGATGGCTGTCCGACATGAAGTAATTCAACGGTATGGTATGATCGATTTGCCATCATATAATGCGTCGCATTATCCACAAGTGATTTCAAGCCTTCCTGCTGGTTTTACTCCAACATGGAAATACACATAAACATTTTAAATGCGCAGCTGTTCCACAAAAAGCGTCTATATATTACATTACATTATTTCATTTTGTACATAAACTATAATGATCAGAGGCTAGCATGCAAACCTATTCTGTTATTTCATTGACAAACAGCCCAGCAGTTACTTCTCATTTTCTCTACGCGAACATTCAAAGGAAAGATTACGTTGACATAACGCAGAGCTAATCATACTTACAGAACTAGCATTGATTATTTTATTCTTTAGCACACTTATCCTCGGCTAAAGCTTATTAACGTTCTTATCGCATCTTTCCACTAAATATTTTATTTTCTATCAAGATATTTACTATATTCTTATATTTCAACCAGACTGTCAGGTTCACTAAAACAATTTCCGTCACATTTTGGGTGTGGGTGTGGGCGGGTGCGCGTGTGGGTG